GTAATAATGTGAAATAAGAGTACAAAAATATCCACCTTCCAGTACTACTATTCTGTTCTTGAGGGTGGGGGGCAGAATACAACCAAACAATGCCTGGTGTTAAAACATTTGCAACTTTTCAAAACTGTGGAAAAAGAAAACTTTAGAACAAAATTGATAATGTGTTAAAAGAATGTACCATAATTTTTTTAACTAGCTTTGCAGCACATTACAAATATTTTCATTGCCTTTAAGTGCAGATGTCTGTGCTATTTTGCCTTTGCCTTCTAAGCAGTAACGTCTTTTATTGGAAATGAAACAGCAAGAAAGTTACATGATTTCAATGACCCATTCAGGTTTTGTGTGGTCATTTTATCCATAAACCGTTTCTTTTTTTGGAAACAGCAGTCTAGTCATAGTGGTAACAATGGACAAAGAATAGTCTAGACTTTTGGTTTTCTTGAAAGATTGTGGACATGGTAAGGCAAGATGCAAATATACAGAATCACATTAATGAACTGCAGTGGATATAAGATGTACAATACTTCTGTCTTAAAAAATACTTAGGAAAAAAATAGGCACTTTAAACAAATTATGCTAGTAGAGACTACAGAATACTAGTTTATAGCACATAATTCTTTAATAGCATACAGAAGAAAAACACTGAAATGCACTTTTATTGTATATTTTTTTATTTCACAGGAAACAAAAATATACTTTATATTGCTATCCCTTGCATAACAAGTAAATATGCACATACAAACCCATTTCAAATATGATAGAGTGCATTTATTGAACTGTTTAAAAACCCTGCTTCTTTTCATGTTTGGGAATGTGATTACAAGCTTCATCTTCAAACTTTTTGGTCCCTCTGAAAAATGGATCTTTCCAGAACTTGAGGAAAAGCTTTGGAAGGAGGAGTACAGGGTATAAGGAAAGAAGGTATCATTTATTTAGAGATATTCTTACATGCAGTTTCTGGTCAGCATTTTTAGAATTTCCTGGTGTTTTTTTTTTATTAGAGGTTTTGCTGGTTACCACAGGTACCAGTGGTGTTTAAAATCCCTTGCAAAAGGATGTCACAAACAGCCTGGCACTGAAATTCCCATCACTGCTGGACATATCTGCTAATCAATGTTGGGTTTAGATGTTGCCCATCTGCAGTAAACCATGAAAGGTAGAAGCATCTGGTAAGTAGCTATGATTCAGGCAGGATAGCTGTTGATGACCCCATTTGCCTAAAGCAAATCAGACTCATATATTTCTTCAGAGTGGGAGTTATTTCTTTTTTGGGGGGGTATCTCCCAAGTATATTTCAAGTCTTATTTGCATTGCTCGTCTATGATGGTAAAGATTTGAGTGATTGATACTTTTATTTGCAAAAAATGCTGTAAATGTTTTTATGAGAAGTAATATTCAATAGCTTCACAGTTGAGTAAAACATTAAATATTTGCAGGGTTTTTTTTTAACAGCACATAATTATCTACTTACCTGACGTTCCTTTCTAGCAGATTCCAGTGATACATATGTTCAGAAGTCAGCTATAATCTAGTCAGTGATTTTGGTCTTTGTATAGCCACACTGGTCCATGCAGAAACCTTAGGAAGTTTCAAAATACGTAGTGCTGATACAGGGATCCAAGACTTCTGCAGGTCTTGCATTTGAAAGAGTTAATGTTCTGGTTTACCTCCAAATTAAAATACAAATGGTATATTCTACCATTTTAATGAGGATTAAAAGTACATATGGGTGTGTGCATAGGAATTTATGAGAAAGTCTTTATCGATGATCTCTTTAGGGAAAGCTGATCTGCAGATATTTTGGATCCCTATAACAGCACTACATAATTTTGCAGCTTCCAAAGATTTCTACTTGGACCAGTCTGGCCAAAATTACTGACTAGGTTATACTGGACTCCACTAAGTAGACAGTGCAAGTCTAAGGTACCAATTCTTGTGATCTCTTGATTATCTGTACAACTTCCAGATAGGGTCATTACATGAAATATCTTCATTAATAGGTCCTTAGGAAATGTAGAAATTTAAAAATTGGGTTCTACATCAATAAAATTGCAGCAAAAGCTCAATAAATGCTAATACTTTTAATATTCTGTTATCATTTTTTTTGTTTTATTCAAATGAGTTTAGACTTTGGCATTAAGGTGGCAGTGCTGCCCAAGGGACAATTCCACTTATTTTAGAGTTTCCCTGATGCCTTTTGCAGTCCTATTGATTGTGAACTGCTGCCTGTAACACAAAGACTGATAAGTAGGATACGATCTCTGGTGGTTCGTGGTTAGAATGCAGTATTGCAGGCAAACTCTGCTCACAGTTTGGAATTCGATCCTGATGAGCCTCCAGGTTGACTTAGCCTTCCATCCTTCTAAGCTTGAGGTCGGTAAAATGAGGATCCAGATTGTTGGGGGCACAATGCAAAAAAATGTAAATTGCCAGAGAGTGCTATAAAACACCATGGGGTGGTATATAAGCTTACAGTAAATTCTATTGCTATTGCTGGGGGGGGGGATCATGAAATCCGTCATACAGATCTAATTTAAAGCTGAATGGGGTACAACTGCCAAAAATAGTGAGAAATCAGTAAATTTATTTAAAGTCCATGATTTCAATAACAAAAGCCATATTTGCATGAGATATCAAAGCACTCAGCTTCCCCGGAACTGTCAGTATGTTTGTGCTTTTGTAATAGGAACCAAAATGCTGTGCTGTTTTTAACCCAATTATAGTATTAGTCAGGAAGCACATAGCCTTGTTTTGTTTTGTTACACTCTTAATTTTTTGACAAAAGAATATAACTTTAAAAAATGCTAGCCAGGTTTTCCATCTGTATAAATTCAAAACCTCAGCAAATTCCCTGTTGGAAGTTCTTTCAGTCTCAAAATATTTTTTCTCACAATGATATTTTGCCGTTGTTTCTAAAAAAATATTTAGTTTCTATTCCAAAGAAAAAAGGCTGTTTCTATAACCATACAAAAAAACCTGGATTTTGGAAAATATTTTTATATAATCTTCTTACAACAGATAATTATTTTGAATAATTTGTACTATTGAATATCCACACTGTTTCCTCTCCATCTATCTCATATAACATCTTTTATCTATATAATTACTAGTGATCACTTGCAATAATGGATAAATACAGAATACAACTTGTCAATTAGATTATTGTAATCTACTAACTGATAACCAGTTCATTCCTCCTGTTTTGCTAGGTGGTAAGAAGGGCAAATTTAACAGAAAAATGCCAGTAGCAAGTTGGTGCCAATTATACTAGGGAAGCAAGTGACAGGATCATTGACAGTACTGTCCCATTCTAGCACTTCACTCATAAACAATTTGGGTGTGTTCTGCCTTACTGCACTTATGAATTTTGTATTTTAAAATATCGAAGCCCAAGAAATGAAAATGGGATGTTACCTATTTCTTTTCTCTTTAATTCATTAACTTAAGAACTGAAATAACTCAGAAGCATGGATGGGTAGGCACAATCAAATAACTGAATTAGATACGTTAACTGGCAAAAAAAAAGTCAGTGCAACAATTATAGGTTTCAACAACAAATGACCATGCAGCAATGAAGAAACTACTAAACAGATGATGGCTTTTTAAAAAAAAATTAAAACACTGTTGACAGATTGTTTGCTTTTAAGTCTTGCCAGTACTTTCGTAGCAAATAGAAGCATGGACAATGACTAAGTTATGACCAAAAGAACAGAAGCTGTTACAATAAAGGTTGAACATATATAAGCAAGACAATGCAGAGAGAGATGGATGTTGTATTTAGGACAGATAATATATGATGAAAAATGTCAATAATAAGGAATATTGCAGATCATGCACGCTCAGGCTTGAGAAATATGTGGTTGGAAAAAAATACATCCTTATTATGTACAAGTAGTCCTCAACTTATGACCACAATTGAGCCCAAAATTTCTGTTGCTAAGTGAGACAATTTTGCTCCATTATACAATCTTTCTTGCCACAGTTATTAAGTGAATCACTGCAGTTAAGTTGACTGCTTGTCAGAATGTTGCAAAAGATGACTACATGACCTCGGGACACTGCAACCATCATAAATACGAGTCAGTTGCCAAGTGTCTGAATTTTGATCATGTGACGATGGGGATACTGCAATGTCATAAGTGTGAAAAACAATCAACTCAATTTTTTCAGTGTCATTTTAACTTTAAACAGTTGCTAAATGAACCATTGTAATTTGAGGACTACCTGTACAGTAATATCAAAAGAATAAATAGCATTAATGATCACCAACCTTGACTAGACATCGTACTGAAAGCAGGAAAATGGGGCAGGTAGGACACCACAGAGAATAGTGAGTTGCCTGAAATCAGAAAGTATGTATTTTTTTATATATGGTAAAATATAAAGGGGATGCAAGAATACATTCTAACCTGGATTTCCTATTTTTGCCACCAACAAAAGGAAGCCATTTTGGATGAAAAATCGAACCACAATACTTTAAACATTATTTTGATTAGGACGCTAATAAAGTACATTTATTCATATTAAGCTCATCTGGTAACATGTAGATATCCTGGCAATAATATGGAAGTGGTTGATCACTGCCTTTTTCAGCCTTTTTTTAAAATTCCTGGGATTTCTTAGTGAATTTGCCTGCAGGTATTAAGCATGTCTAATATTGTTTTGGGTTTTTTCTGATCAGCCAGAATCCATTAGGCATTATGAACAAATTGGTGTAGTACACATATGTTAAAAATTATCCTAATACTTTATTGCTTTTATTTAGCAAGGTATCCGGATCTTTCAGCCTGTTTGCCTGGCTTTTATGAGGAGCTTAGAATTAGACTTGTCTATCTTTACAAGAGCCATAATTATAGGCCACTAATATGGAAAGGCGGCAGAAAAAAAATAATGCCCCTTAAACATCTTCAAGCAGGAAATAACACTTCCTCAAATTGAACAATACATTCTACCATTCAGAACTAAATTTAACCGCTTTTAAAATTACACAGGGAAACTGTATCTATTATAGTTTTATTGTTGTTAAATTTCCATCACACAATTGATACCACTTTATGAAGCAAAATAAAATGCTACTGTTTATTTAAATACTTTTTAACAATATCATCTGTCTCTTGGGAAAATACAGAAGTTATATTAAATATGCTATTTTCTACATAGAACTGCTTTTCTTTATTAGTCTTTTGTTTTAAATTTTCTAAGAATTTTATTTTCTGCTTGTTGAGCTCCTCTGACAAAATCTTCATCTCGCTTGGAGTAAGACTTTTGGCTGGAAAACAAAACAAACGATGAAATGCTGTAGTTTAAATTTTATATTATCTTAACATTTGAGAAGGAAAAGCTATTATCTAAAAAGAAACATGGCTACAACTATAAAATAGATCAACTAGGTCATAATGTGGTTTGTTTCCTTTGGCTTTGGAGGTTCTACAATCGGCCACTGTAGTATAAAAAATATGTTTCATGTGTTGTATAAAGCCAGCCAGTTGTGGCTTAGTCTATAAATCAGCTTATCAACTCCATAGGGTACTACCAATATATACTAAGCTTTTGAGGCTTAATTTTATTCCTATAATACCCAACCTCCCAATAAAAAACAACCAACCTTTCAGCTGTGAGATTACTATCCTTCTCAGTATATTATAGCCAGTCCAGCGGGCTGATGTTCTGGCTAGAAAAGTCTAGCGTAATATATAAACCAGATCTGCTACTGCAAAACAGTGATGTGCCAAGTACTTTTCTATTGCCAATAATATATATGATCTCTTCTGTGTATGAAAACACTCAGCAATAAAATGTTCCATAGGCATCATTTATTAGCACTAGCATTTATTAGCATTCAGAGCAATAGTTAAATTCCCTCTAGTTCACTCCAGTGGCTAAGGTGCCAGGCTAGAAAACAGGAATCTGTAAGTTCTAGTTCCTCCTTAGGCGTGAAAGCTGGCTTGCTGGCTGACTTTGGGACAGTCACCCTCCCTCAGCCCATGACATTAGGCTCAAGAGACAAGCCAGTCAGTCAATTCCTATTGCAACCAATGGATCAACACTCAGTGAATCTGAAAAAACGCGGACCCTGCCCTTGCATAAAATGCTCAGAAGAAAAAAAAAAAGTTATATTGCTTCTAGTGAAGTCATCTCTTGTTCAACATACCTTTAGCGTTTTGCATTGTTTCAGAGATTATTCGCCTGAGAGCTTGATCAGCTTGATGAAGAACATTGCCTGCACATATAGCCCGATCCATCTCCTAGCCAAGATCAACCAAGATTGTTTTAATAAAAGTTACTGATTCTTGGTCCATCGTAGGTATCCAGAATTCTGGACAGTAAGATGGACAGTGTATAAATTTGATAAATTAAGAATTAACAATACAGATTAGTTTGTATTCCCATAACACCGGAACAATTCCAGGTTACTTTCTGAAAGTTACTCGGTTTCCCTGCCAAGTTTTGGCATAGCCCCAAAGTGTCTGCTCTTTCTTCCAATTCTGCAGCAAGTTCCCTTCACAATTTAATTTTATACACAAGGGTTGAATGAACAGTATTGCCTTCACCTCTGTAACTTTAGCTTAAATAAGGATATTGTAATCAAAACGGGAAATAATTCTTGAAATGAGGCATTTTGTTACCTGTATTCCTTCTCCACATAATCACTACATATTTTTGCCAATGATGAACAAGCTTCTTAAAGCCTTAAAAATTCTGTCATTCCTTTCCACCTCATTTGATGTCCAGAAATTTGTTTATTCAATTTTGAGAAAAAGTAGAAGTTTCATGGCATCAAAGGCTATGGGGCAACAGGGGGAAAGATACCAAGATCCAACTTTTGGGTGGTTTTCTCTGCCCAGAACTAGGGAGGTGCACTTCTGAGGCATTTTCACCAATCTTCCTGCTTCAGATTAAAATTCTGTTTATCAGATCATTGTTTAGGCTGCAGCTCTTCCTTTTTTTCTCTCAAGGTTATTCCCACATACAATTACATAATGCAATCTTTTCTCATGGCAACTTTCTATCAATTGAATTGAAAGAACAGAACACATCCGAATCTCTAGTGCAGGGGTGTCAAACTGCCGGCCCGTGGGCCAGTTGCATCATGCAGAGGCCGTGCCCACCCCAGCTCCGGCAACGCAAAGAAAGTCGTGACACGCCGCGACACGTCATATGACACAGCAAGTTTGACACCCACTTAAGCAATAAGGTGAAGTGTATTAAGAGCCTTACGAGTTGTAATCATTTTTTTATTCTACTCAGGTTTTGGGAATCAAAAATTAAACAGTAAATGAGATTTATATTTTTATATAAATAATGTTTGGCTTCCATAGAGTGTGCAATCTGTGGCCTTCAAAGAGTGTGGCCTCTAAAGCCTCTCCATTAGTTGAACAAACACGTGACACAAATGCAAAACATTGATTAGATACAATATAATTAAAATGAATCTGGATTTTGCATCTATCCCATTTCACCTGCTTCTTAAGTGTCAACGACACTTGTTCTACATTACCCTTTTATGATGTTACAAGATGCTCAGGGTCACTTTATAGTGAGATGGGTAGCATATAAATTTAATAAATAAATAAAAATGCAATCCTCCATTTTAGAAAAAAAACTGGACACCCCTGGTGTAAAACAATGAATAACTTTTCAGCTCTCTTGTTTATTTCTACCCATAATGTCAGGGGCTAAATATGTTATCCCCATAACTGGCTTCCTACGTATAGAAAATCTCCTGAACTTGTTACCCACAGAATCCAAGGTACCTTTTCTTCTGTATTCACTTCCATGGGTTTTACTGGATTTTCCAAAGCAGAAGATAACAAATTAAACACCTGAAGACTGAAAAGAAATATAAAATTAAATTGCAAATGCACGCATATGAATGACTAGCATCAAGGATAATGTCTGAGACCAATGGGGTCAATAACATTCATCTAAAAAGCTAAACCCTGAAAAAGTTCAATGTACAAACTGCAATTCAGTACAGAGGAATATGAATTTTTCTACAAGGAGAACCCCTCCCCCTCCCCCATAGCTTCCAAAAGTGACTTTTAGTAGGCTATGTGAGAAGTTTTCCTTTCCTCTGAAGCAAGAATTCTACCGAGAATGCCCAGAGACCATTATAAAAAGAATATAAATCATTGTTCCAATGAGATCACATACTTATCTTCTAATGAAAATTCAGCACTTTTCAGAATAAGGCTATTTTGCTCCCATGTGTATTTCTTTGGATTTGGACATTCTAACTTTTGTGCCATTGCAAATATGGTTTCTTCAGGTAATGGCTGCTTTCTCTGAGCATTTCTCTCTAAACAAATTTCAACCTGGCAGTCTAGGAACAATTGACAGAAGCCCAACGAATCTAGAAAATAAAAAAAATATGTGTATCAAAAACAGTCATTTAAAACTCATTGCACATAGACTGTGTAAGATGCAAAAATCTTTACTGAAATTAAAAATTAAACAATGGGTTAAGGGGCAATTAAATATTTATTAAATGTAATCACACACAAAAATCTGCTTAGCTATTGAAACAAGTTTTTCAGGTTAATTCTTTTGTCAATATGCAAGCAAGAGAATTTTAAAATGCATATATGCATTACATGAAAAATAGTTTTGGAATACTGAAGGTATTGAACAGGACCACAGGTGATCAGTTTTCCCCTCCTGAGTGAGTGGATTAAGTGAGTGGATTACATTCTCCTTCAAATGAGAAAAGCTTGGTGTCGGTCTCTAAGGCCAAATTTGTTTCAATACCAGAGAAAAACCAAGCTAGTTAGTTGCTGGCCAGGGAATTTGCTCAGCAGTTATAAAACCATCCAAACTCTCTGAAAAAAACCTTTTAACTACAATAGCTTAACATATGGTTTCCATTGCTGAGTTGTAAGGTTGAATCGTTGGTGTAAAATATAAAATCAAACTTACACTGGCGAGCTAACTGGTACACTTCATATCTCATGCTCTGATAATAAAAGTTGTCATCTAAAATAAAATATATTGGCCTGAGTGGAATGAAATCTATTAAATATTGACAAGATGCAGAGTCTTTTGTTCCTGCAGATATTAATCCTTGTTCCATCAAACAGGAGACAAAACTTTTCCACATTGCTTCAGTTCTGTTGGAAGGAGGAAAGTAATGGCATCCTTTAATAAGAGCCTGAAGGAAGTGTTCAAGGTACAATAATAATTCATGCCGGTATGATCGCCAATGAGAAATCTATAACGTAAGAAGACAATTATTCACGTTAGATTACAGATTGGCTGCAATCTGGAGCTATCAACAGCAACAAACGCACTGTTATTTACCTCAGTGTAAAATGGAGATCGGTGTTCATCATATTTTGGTCACTGGCAATTTTTTCTGTCTAGCCACCTCATTCTATTTAATTTAGACCTTCCCCCACATACATATTTTGATAGAAAACTCAATTTCACCATAAGGGTACTGCTAAAGTCTTTTCAGAGAAACCACCAAACTCTTGTTCCTGTTGGAACTGATTAGCAGCTAACCCTCTGAAAATGCACATGCACAACTGGACAAAGGATTCAATGCAAAGCATTTAAAGGGGCATTTTGCAAAGTGCACGCGCATGAAGAAAGTGCCCTCCCTCAAAGCACAGAAGCATCTTTCTGAAGATTCGGCTCAATTGCTTTGAATGCCTTTTCAGATTATCTCCATGTACATGTGTGCTGAAACAGTCTGGGAAGCAAGCTGTGTATGCATAGACTTGCAAAAAGCAGTGCAGCTAAGCTTTCTGGAATACGCGGCGGCTTTAATTCTTTGAGGAAGGATGGTTTTGCTTATGTCCATATTTGGGAAACACCTCTTCAAATATTTTGTACAGCTCTTGTAACAACCTCTACAGAAGGACAACCATCACTGCAGCCCTCCACTGATCTGGTCTTTATGACAGAGTGAGTAAACGGAAGCCTCTCCTTGGTGAAAAACACATGAAAGCCAGCTTGGAGTTTGCAAAAAAGCACCTGAAGGACTCCCAGACTTCGAGGAACAAGATTCTCTGGTCTGAGGAAACCACGATTGAACTGTTTGGCCTCAAGTCTAAATGTTAGGTCTGGAGGAAACCAGGCACTGCTCATCACCTGCCCAATACCATCCCAACAGTGAAGCATGATCGTGGCAGCATCATGCTGAAGGGGTGTTTTTCAGCAGCAGGGACTGGGAGACTGGTTAGGGTTGAGGGGAAGCTGAATGGAGCATAGTACAGAGATATCCTCAATGAAAACCTGTTCCACAGTGCTCAGGACCTCAGACTGGGCCAAAGGTTCATTTTCCAACATGACAACAATCCTAAACACATAGGTAAGATAACATAGGAGTGGCTTAGGGACAACTCTATGTATGTCCTAGAGTGGCCCACCCAGAGCCCTGACTTGAACCCTACTGAACATCTCTGGAGGGACCTGTCCAGCAACAGTCACCATCCAACCTGAGCTTGAGAGGATTTGCAAGGAAGAATGGCAGAAAATCCCTCAATCCAGGTGTGCAAAGCTTGTCACATCATACCCAAAAGACCCGAGGCTGTAATTGCTGCCAAAGATGCTTTAACAAAGTACTGAGTGAATGGTCTGAATACTTTATGCCAATATGATATTTCAGTTTTTTTCTTTTTAATAAATTTACAGACATTTCTAAAATTCTGTTTTCACTTTGTCATTATGGGGTACTGAGTGTAGATTAATGAGGAAAAAATGAATCTCAACAACTGTAGAATCAGGCTGCAGCATAACAAAATGGACAAAAGTGAAGGGGGTCTGAATACTTTCTGAAAACACTGTACACACATGTATGTATGTACGGTATGTAGTTCTTGACTTATGACAAGTCACTTAACAACCATTTGAAGTTACAACAGACCTTCCAGAGCTACTTAATACCCATTTTTGAAGTTATGATGGCCACACTCCCCCCATTAATATGTATACAATACGTATTAATTTCAATAATGGAAAAGGGGCATAAGAAGATGTTCTGTAAAAGCTTACACAGCAATGTTTTAAGGTACTGTAAAACTCTTACTTCTCTCAGTATATTAATATAACTCTCCTAACAGTATCAGTTAATCTGCTAAATATTATGCATTTATTCAAACATTACTTTTTATTCCCTCAAAGTAATCATATATAAAAATACTATCAAAATTTAACATCATGCTGGTGATTAATATAAATATTACAATTAAAGAACAAAACAGTAAAATTCAGATACAAAACTATTTCCAATAGCATATTTCTGTATGCTTTAAAAATGCAAGCTAGTATTGATGTTCATGTTATTAAATATACAGAAGCATTTTAAAAGATTGATGTGTTTTTAATTATTTTTACGGAAAATGTTAATATATTCTATTAATGTAAAACATTTGCTATGAAAATAAAGTCACAGAAAATGTGAATTAAAACTAAAATGACATTTTATTAATGTTAAGGATTTAATGAATTAGTGATAAACTAATATGCTCCTTTTATACACAGATTAGACTTGTATTAGCAAATTTAGGACAGCATATACTCAAGATAAGCTTCCCTGTTAATTTTAAAAATAAAATATTGAATTAACTGAAGTATAAAGTTAATATGAAATCTGAAAATGCCACAGGGCAATGAATAACTCCAAAATTTAACAGAGCAATGACAACAACCAATGCGTGTACACACGCACACATGTACACACACCCTTAATGCCTTCATTACACCAAACTGGTTGTAAACATCAAGCTGGGATTTAACCCTGGTTTATTCTCATAATTTGCTAACCATTTCTGGTTGATTAACTTACTGAATTTGCATTAAAAAAAACACGTAGTGAGAAAACCTTCTAACTGCCCAGAGTCTTCTGAAGTAAATGACAATACATTTCATTAAATAAACTCTGCTATATCTCTTGCCCTGATCTTACCTCTGTTTGACTGAATGCTTCCAAAGGAATGAGATTGTCATAACTGAGAAGAATGCAAGACCATTCTTTGCGCGTCCTCAAGAAGGAACTCAGTTCTTGTGCTGTCCTAGTTTTACCTGCTGCTGGTAAACCACAAAGCACACACAATCCCAGCTGATGGCCTCCAACTCTCTCTTGCTCCATGGTTTCCCCTGGATGAAACCTCTGTGAGACAAAGGAATTGACTGTTTGATGTTCTGCATTAACTTAACCTTGCACATGTTTGCTGTTTCACATGAAGAATGATCAGAAATGCCAGAACTGAAGGGACAATTGCTTTATCTGAAAACATTCCACACTTTTCCTAGTTAGAAGAACAAGGACAATTGCTCATAATAAATAACAGAGAAACCTGAGTTGATACTGTTGCAGATAATTGACAGAACATAAAAAAACACATGCAAACACCAGAAAAGAGGGTGATCTATTTTTTAAAATAATAACATTTTGATATTTATTATTTATTACTTTGTAAATAATTCAAGGTGGTGAACATAGACACCTTCCACCTCCTATTTTCCCCACATTTATCATTTTTCATAGGTATTGAAAAAAATCAATAACGAACTGTGATTTACTGTTATCATACTGTTTGTGCAATGACCCACAGTAATTTTTTTAAAGTAATTTAAAGAAATTAAAGAAAGTTAAAATAAGATGGGCATTACTGCCACCTACTGATGTTATCTATAAATAAAAAAACAAATTTTCAGTAACACCAATTACTGTGATTTAAAAACAGCGCTAAATGAAAAAAAATATTTCACAGTCTTATAACCCTCACTACTGAGCATTTCATTTTTTTTAAATTGGTACTAAAGATGAATCTTGATAGATTTATGAACTAATGGGATGGACGCTTGCTTTATGCTCTTATTAGGGAATTCAGATGTAGCAATTTCAAAACTTTTCAGTAAAACGGTGAATTTATACCAGGAATGTGTACCATCTTAATCTATCTTGTTTGCATGTGCAACAGAATAGCCATTATCTTTTTTTTTTTTTAAAAAATACTCTAAAATGTTTGAATTTATGGGGTAGGAGTAAACGCCCTGGAATATTTTGCAGGACCGTAGGCATCTCTCTGAGTTTTGGTAGCAGCGTCTTCTTCATTCCCACCCCGGATTTTCAGAGTCCCCAGTTCAAACCACTCGCTGAACTAAGCCACTGAAAAATGAGGCAGTGGCTGTCACAATCAGACCATGTCTGTTCAATGTTAAGCCTGGTTCCAGGGGCAGGCGGGCGGGCGTGATTTAGCCTATTTGGTTATTTAATGCATTGGGCAAACACAAGAAAACGGGTCAATTCAGTATTCAGATTAAATGGATCGCCCAGCCAGTGTTTAAAATCTTCCCTTTGCCACTTACCTTCTCTCCCAAACTTGTTTACGCAGTCGCCGATGGTGCTTTCTATCGTCCACCTTCCCTTGCCAGCAGTTTCCCTTTTTCCCAGCCAGGAGAAAAAACAGCTGTTCCTACCACGGTCTCTACCTTGAGAGCTTCTGCAAGCGACACTCTATCTTCAGAAAGGGGGGGGGACTCTATCATCCGCTTATGAAAGTCCAGACGAGTGTACGCGTTGAATTCTGGGAGTTGAAGTCTACCCTGCGAACCCCTGCTCTAGAATTTGAAATCATAGTCACAAGTGGCTTCCTCTTCCTTCAATAAGCCACGCGGTCTAAATTCACCCAGCGCACTAAGCCACAAATGAGCAAATCACTATTTAGTTTTAATGTGCGACAAATACCGTTGAATATAAAAGGGGAACTGCACGTAAATGCTTACACATGTGATGTTAACTCGAAACCTAAATCAATCAATCAGCTGCAGTGGGAATAAGAACAAGAATATTATAAAATTTTCAGCTCCGTATAGTCCAGGGGTAGGCAACCTCGGCTCTTTTATGACTCGTGGACTTCAACTCCCAGAATTCCTGAGTCAGCACAGCTGACTCAGGAATTCTGGGAGTTGAAGTCCACGAGTCATAAAAGAGCCGAGGTTGCCTACCCCTGGTATAGTCAATGTAACCCAGCCGGTCTTCTACTTCGAGCTTTATAGCCTGCTTTGCTTCTCCCTGGCAAACAGAGCGAAGGCGTGGAAACAAGCAGCTATCCCAAAGGCTGCCTGCCTCCAACGTTCACACAACCTGACCTACGATCAGCTGAGAACACCGCTGGAACGGCATTAAGGTGACGAAACCAAAGCAGAACTTTGCTCATTTTCAGGAATTCCAGTGTTTCTCAACCTTGACAATTTTAAGGCATGTGGACTTCAACTCCCAGAATTCCACAGCCAGCAGTGCTGGCTGTGGAATTCTGGGAGTTGAAGTCCACATGCCTTAAAATTGTCACGGTTGAGAAACACGGAGTCAAAAAAATCGCCGAAGAGCCAATGGGAAGAGACGTTTGTTGGCCCACAGCTATTCTATCCGCGGCGCCCAACTTGCTTCTGATTGGGTGAAAAGCAAAAGATTGAAGATTAGGGCTGACCTTAGAGGTAACACCCTTCCGCCACCCAACCGTTTTCGAAGGAAGATCTTAGGACTTGCGGAGTTGTAATTACTTGCAGTTGGATATACACTAAAGCAGTTGTTTTTCAAACTTGGCAACTTGAAAATAGGGGGACTTCAACTCGCAGGATTCCTGAGATTGAAGTCCACACATTTTATAAGTTACCAATTTTGGAAAACACTGCATAAAGCAGTGTTTCTCAACCTTGACAATTTTAAGGCATGTGGACTTCAACTCCCAGAATTCCACAGCCAGCAATGCTGGCTGTGGAATTCTGGGAGTTGAAGTCCACATGCCTTAAAATTGTCAAGGTTGAGAAACACTGGTATAAAGCTTTATGTGTTTGCTCTGAGCAACTCTGTTGCTTTGGAATGATTTTCGAGGCTCAAAATGGGATCGGTATTTAGAAATTGTATACCTGTGATCTGTAGTTCCTGCAGCGTGTTTAGAATGTTGTTTTCTCACCCTGCTGTGTAGCTCATTGCAGAGATGTGCAGGAAGTTGCTATGAATTGACAATAAGAATCACATTCAGATCTATGGTGGAAACAACTTGAGGAACTTTAGCTAGACAATTTCTAGTGCTTCTGATTTTAAAAATGAGGAACAAGAGAAAATCTACAAGATAAGGAAAAAGAGCAACCTAAGAATAAAAAGTAAAGTAAAAAAAAAAAGAATTGTACACAAAGCTACATAAATATACACATATCGATGTGCATCATGTTAAATGAATAAGTGAAACCTGCCATAGTGCAGGAGTAACGCTAGGACGAAGATATTAAAGGAATAGGATCATTAAAAGGAAACATTTAAAAATCTATTTTTAAATATTTTATGCAGAATTTGTACTGATGAATTAGGAAAAGTATTATTAGTACAATGACTGAATTTGCATAAATTTATTTTGCAGTCTAGACTCTAGAGCATTTCAAAACTTTTTCAAACTCTTATTGTACAGGATTAATTTTTAACCAGAGCAATATCCCACTCATTTAAATAATTGAGACACACCGGAAAATGTTGCAACTATAAACCTGGCAGGTAATAAAAAGGAACTGTCAATATAAAGAGTTAAACCAATGTACGTTCCAATACAAATTTGGTTAATAAATGGTTAGAATTCATTGCAAAAGATTATCCTTTAATTTACAGTAGGTTAGCTCAACTTGAGGGAGACTTTTCTTAATGTCATGTAGAGATCTTTTCTATAATTAGAAATAATTCTAGTAACTAATTCTATAATTCTGTGCATAGGGTTCCAGGGAGGTTTTTAAAAAATGAGGTATAAACTTCACATGTTGTTAAGGATCTTAATTGATGAAAGCTATTTTACAAATTGAATGAATGGACTTGAAATAGTTTGAAACCAAACTGGAATTTGTGACTAATCCTTCTGTAAACTATATTCAGTAGGAGTTATGAGGCTTTAACAAATATGTCTTTAATTTCTTAAACTATCTTTGCATTCTTTCTATTGAAGACATTTGAACACCTGCCTACTTGCACTTTGTAGCACTCACCCATCTGCCGGCCTGTTTGTAAGCCTATTAGAAATATTGTTCCTTTTTCATTGTAAAAATAGTAAAGTGGTTTATAGATGCAATAATAATCAGAATCAAAATAATTGGTTGGCAAAGAAGTTAATGACAATAGGCCAAATTAAAAAGAGGAAATTCCTTTAAAAAAACTTCAACTGTAGGTAGTTCTCTGTTAATGATACCAATTGGCACTGGAATTATTGTCACTAAGCAACACAATTGTAAAGCGTGACATCATGTTATGCCACTTACCAATGGAGGTCTGGCACTTCTACCGTTCTTAAGTGAATCATCCTGGGTCATTAAGCAAGGATGTTGGGTAGTCATCATTTTTAATACCCTGCTAGCTTCCCCATTGACTTCATTTGTAGGAAGCTAGCAAAAAGGTTGCAAATGGGGATCACGTGACTGTTAGGACATTGCAAAAACAGCTACAAATTCAAGGTACAATGATCAGTACCACTTGGCTCAGAAAGTTTGAAAGGTTGCTGAAGGCGTGGTCACTAAGTGAGAATCACCTATACACCATACATTATTTATCTGCAATCATGCTGAAAATAATATTGTAAAAGAATTAAACCTGTAATCGATTTTTCATGTCATTGAAATATCAGGTTATTTTTTTTAAAGATATGCCATTTATAGGTCAAGTTATTTTATTTTATTTTACAAAATGGTTCACAACATTTGCCATTTTAACAGAAATTGTGCAACTGATTTTTCTACCACTAAATTACAAAAGTGATTTGTGCAAAACTGCAAATAACTTTATATATGTAAAAAGCTTAGAGGTGGAAGCACCAGTAACAAATTTGATTGATTACAGGAAATTTCAATTTTTTCAATAGTCCCTAAAATACATATCAATATAAATTTTCAGACAATGTAAACATTAAAAATCATTTTATATCTAAATTTTGGCATTTGTACCCAGCATAATACTATTGGTTTGTTCATCAACACAATTATATTACTAAAATGCAGATATTAAAAACTTCTCAAAAACATTTTGTAAATCAACTCTGAATAGAATTTCATATATGCCTGATAGTGGAACGAGGTTGTCATAAAAGAGCATATATTAAATCTAGTGGACCATATACGTTAGTTTTGATTTACAAATTTGAATTGGTTATTCATAATATGCCTGCAAGCTGCAATTATGATGTAAGTAACTTTAAACAAAAGCAGTAACACTGTCAGGATACAAATTGGTTTTTTGCTCACCAGAAAACAGTACTCTTTAATCAAATTTTTGGTTTAATGAATCCGTGCAGAAATGTCATTCTGTTTCCAGCAAAATTACCATCAGGGCTGGTATGTCAGAAATGCGGAATTGTTGCACTTTAATGCAGTTGAAAAATGATGCAAATTACTATTATGAACCTGAAATGATCTGACATGCTTAATGAGCCCAGTCAATTGTGGTTTATTCATTAAATCATGGTTAAGAAAACATGTCTTACTATCATGTGTCAGCATATAGTTGACCTTTTGGCTCATGTTATTACAAAAGCTCAACTGCATGCTGAAACATGATAGTAAGACATGTTTCCTTAACTATGATTTAATGAATAAACCACAATTGACTGGCCTCATTATCAAAATGGACTATCAAAATGGCCAGATAAAGCTATTAATAAAAATGCATAACCTTCACAGATGTATAATATGAAAACAGAAGTATCATCTATTTCTGTGTTAGAAACATTTAAAATATATTCACAATTTACCTGGGAAGTTGAAGGAATCTTTAGAAATCTCCTACAAGAACACTTAAGGATAGTGTGACTCCTGTGCAATTGTGACCAGTATACATGTGGATCAACAATAGTGTACCAATGGCTGTCAAGTCATGTTTGTTGATTTTAGACAAATACAAATCACTTTCTGATCTTTGTTCAGGTAGATAATAGTACACTGTAGCCCTTCCTTCAATGATTGATTAATTTTGTAATGAGTCTTGTGCTTTCACATTGTTTCTTAATGTAATAAACCAATTGACTATAAAGAAGCAACTGCCCATTTTAAAAAAATCAGAGCAACTGTATAATTAGTGAATCTGTCATTGATGTTAAGAGCAGCAGTCTCCCCCAACGTTTACTAGAATGATTGTACAAGAAGGGAATTTGTGTGACAGATTTAAGTATTCCTTCCCCAATCATGACCTTATGGGCATGATACTCTCTACTAACCTCCATAGGTGTTTTCTTGTAATATTAATAATTAATCTATGTTAGAAGTGAAAAGGAAAGGGAGGAACCTCAACCAGAGAAGAAAAGTCCTAACCACCTTTTCTCCTAATAAAAATTGCACATACATGTTCTACATTTTATAAGTCTGACATTGTTTCTGATCACATTTACTACAACATCTAGTTTGGCCCTATGTTAAGGTAAATGACTTTAACTTTATTGGGATGAGACCAGTATTACTTATAAAAGCAATATCCTGTGGCCTAATAATTAAGGCCTTTTCTTTCCTAAATAATGATTTGGTAGGGCAGCAGACCCTGAAGTAAATTTAATTTAATTTAATACTGTTTTAGAAATTAAACTGAAGTCTTTGTTTGTATATTTCTAAAAATAATACTTTTAATTCAGTTCACTAATACAGTATTTTTTCCTAGTAGCGTACAATACATTTCATCATAATTCTTCAAGATGGAGGAGAGAAAACAGGTTTTTGTGGAATTGGTGGTCTTAAAGGAGCGTTTCGTGGAATTGGCGGTCTTAAAGGAAGGTTTTGTGGAATTGGCGGTCTTAAAGGAGGATTTTGTGGAATTGGCGGTCTTAAAGGAGGCCTTTGTGATATTGGTGGTCGTACAGGAGGTCGTTGTGGAGGTGGAACAAATTGATTTTGTACTGGTGGCCTAAAAGAAGGAGAGGAAAACAGTATGTGGATAAGGATTTCGGATTTTGGCAGGTATAAATAGCCCTGAAAAAGAACTACTTATTTTTATTTATATTTATTTCTATTTCACATTTCTGAACCGCTCATCTCCTTCAAAGAGACTGAGCACCGAAGTGCAAGGAAGTTGACCTGATGTAACCACATGCACTCAGCAATACCCTATCTGAACTGAGAAACAGGTACGAATTTGTTCCACTAGTTGAGCTAAGCCTTCATCTTTAAATTACTTTAAACCAGGAGTCCCAACCCCGGTCCATGGACCAGTACTGCGCTACGGCATGCCAGCAACCAGTCAGCACAAACAAGCAAAGCCCCATCCACGAGATTCAGGCAGCACACAAAACCACGGACTCTCCATGGAAAAACCTCTCTCCACGAAACCAGTCCCTGGTACCCAAAAGGTTGGGGACCTCTGCCTTAAGCATTTTTTTAAATTTTAGTTATTGAAATAAAACCCACCTAAACCATTGTGCAGGACATGAATGAAGTGCATTCAGATAACTAGAGCATATGAATGTATGAACTGCACATATGAACTATTATTTATTCACTGAAGTCCTAGTTTCCTTGAGGCCTCAAGGCCTTCAGATTCCTCCCATATAAACCCTGTGGGGTTGAAAGAGAGTAACTGACCCAAAATCACCCAGTGAACTCTGTGGTTGAGAGAAGATATTGGATCAAAGCTTCCTACTCCTTAATCACCACACTTCATTACATGGGGAAAGTGTGCTTATCACTGGAGACAGTTTGAATTTAATGGTGAACACCAGCTTCCATTTTTAGCCATTACTCTCATGTGGTTGCAATAAATTGCTTTAGAGCAGGGCTTTTCAACCTTTTCACCCATTGTACCACTTTTAGGATATGGCAATATCTGACTACCACCAGTCACCTAGCAAGGTGTCAAAAACTTGATAACCCCCCCCAAAAAAGGAAAAAAGTGATGAAGTACAGGTAGTCCTCGACTTACAACAGTTCGCTTCGTTGGAGGTTACAATGGCACTGAAAAAAGTGCCCCCCAAGCCACAGCCAAGCAAGACACCTGCCTGCCCACCCAGCAGCGTTCTTTCTCCTGTCCGAGGTTTTCATTGTTGTGAGCATTTCTGTTGAGGATTGGCAGCAGGGGTGGGGGGTGTTTGGTTTTTATTCCCCCTGTCTGCTGGGTGGTTGCAGCAGGTTTTGGTCACTTCACATGACCCTGGGACGCTGACCGTCATAAATATGAATCAGTTGCCAAGCATCTGAATGTAAATCACAAGACCCTGGAGATGCTGTAACATTCCAGCTGATCAGTACTTCTCCTGGGCTCAGCAGAAGTGCCAAGATCAGCGCCGAGCTCCAGCTGGAGCCTGGTGCTGATCCTGGCGCTTCCGCTGAGCCATGACAGCCCCAAAGAAGCGCTGATCCTGGTGCTTCCGCTGAGCCCTGACAGTCCTGCAGCTCCAGCCATCTCTCGCTCAGGCTTGTGCGGTGCTGCCACCGGTTCAGCTCATTCTCCTCCTCCGCTACCACTTTTCTAAGATGGTCGTGTACCACCTGTCAGGTGCTAATGTACCACAGGTGGTACCCGTACCACTGGTTGAAAAGCCCTGCTTTAGAGTATGCAGTCCCGACCCATGTTCTATCTGTATTTACATCTACATACTCTGTGTGGTTCTGCTATATAGTTATATCAAAAAGTACAAACCTTGGAGTTGGAAAGTGAGATATTGTAAAGACTTCCGAATTTGAAGTAGGCTGAAAAAGATAAGACAAACAAAGAAACAAACAAACAAACAAATAAAATCATGCTTATGTTTAAAAAGGTAAGATTTCCCCCTGTCCAGTCATGTCTTACTCGAGGAGGCGGTGCTCATCTCCAATTCTTAGCTAAGGGAGCCAGCATTGTCCAAAGACACTTTGGGGGTCATGTGACCAGCATGACTATATGCCAAGGTGCACGGAACTCTGCTACCTTCCCATCGAAGTGGTACCTATTTGTCTACTCGCATTTGCGTACTTTCAAACTGCTAGGTGGCCAGAAGCTGGGGCAAGTAATGGAAGCTGAGCCCATTGCGTGGCGCTTGGGTCTCGAACCCGGACTGCCAGCTTTCCAGCTGACAAGCTCCACGTTTTTAACTGCTAAGCCATTACTCCCCATACTTATGTTTACAATCCAGCAAAATGCTGTTGTTCGAAATTTTGCAAACTGAATTTCTGAATAGGAAATAATTAACTAAAATAATAAAAATAAATAAAAAATGCACAGCTGATGTTTTGTACTAAAAGACCTTTACTGGTGGAAAATACTTATAATTGAAAGTACATTATAATTGAAAGTATATTCTTACCCGCTTTTTATTTATTGGCTCTGGTGGATTTGGTTTACTTGGAGTATTATTCTGGTGTGCAGGTAGCGGTCTTCTTTGCTGCGCATTTTCAGTCCTTAAAGAAATTCAAACAAATAGTTAAAAAGGATATAAACATAAATGCTCATCTTGCATTACTTGCCCCAAATCAGCAGACATAGCTAAAAACCAAGAAGATAAAAATTCATTGTGGATGCAGAGAGAGTATATAACAGTGGTGGCGAACCTATGGCACGGGTGCCAGAGGCGGCACTCGGAGCCCTCTCTATGGGCACACGCGCCCTTCCCCCAGTCCTAGGCCTTCAGCTGGGTTTTATAAAACCTTTTCGCTTTAGGCCTCCGCTGCCGTGTGCAAAAAAAAAAAAAAAGGTTCAATCAATGAGTCAATTTCAACTTCTCGCGGGAAAAAAAAAAGCTCTCGCAAAGTTGGAATTGATTGATTGAACTTTTTAGTCCCACCCAGTCTGCCGTTACCACCGCAGCCACGCCCACCCAATGGGCCACACCCACCCAAGTGGCCACACCCATCCAATGGGCCACACCCACCCGGCACCCGACAATGCATAAGTGGGTTTGGGGTTGCAGTTTGGGCACTCGGTCTCTAAAAAGTTCGCCATCACTGGTATATAACAATATTGAAAGGAGGACAATCACTGCTAAGACACATAGAGGTGCCTTTATATTATTCACAATAACAGTGAAATAGGTTTTTGCTAATCAACCAATTCCTGCTTGAAAAATACTGCAGGGTACAGATGGCACATATAACCAAACAAACAAAAAAGTATTTGCTTGCATATAAATGTTGTTTTCCCTGGAAAGAAAACGATCTGGGATGACAGAAACAAAGCAACTCAAAACATTTTTCAGCTGTTGGTTGGTTTCAGTTCAACTGGCAAAAAATGGGCTTAGTACATCCCCCAACCTATCAGACTTGAGTTTGATTCTGGTGCAGTTTTAGAACATTAGAATGTTTAAGTTCCTATGCTCAATGTTTGCTTTGGTTGTTGTTGTTTTTTTCAATTTAATTTTTAAAACTCAGGAATTTCCCAGTTAGTAAATGTGGAAATAGATAACTAGATAAATACTCTTTTAGAAGGATTCAGGCAAACAGTTTAAGAAAAGAACTATGATGATGACCTCAGGAGTGCCTTACTTAGTTGGTTTTCATAAATAACTGGTCTGATAAGGTAAGGGGTCTAGCCTAGCTAGTCTAGGATTGAAAAATCAAAATGGATGAGGGAAAAGCAAAGCAAAGAGCTACTTTAGTAAGAAACATTACCAATAGCCTAAAACAGTGGTTCTCAATCTTTTCTTCACCACGGGCCCCCTTTAAATATCTTTTGTGGGCCTGGATCACGGTTACGGACCCCCAAGACTAATGCAAGATTTAAATCATAATATTTCTTCAAGCCTTTGTGGAACCCTCTGATGATATCATGCCCCCCCCAGGGACCACAGACCACAGGTTGAGAACCTCTGGCCTAAAATATTATTTAGTAAAAAAATCAGCAAATATATTTTTCTACTGAAATGATCATAGTTTGTATTAGAGGAATCATAATTTGTAGAATCAGTAACAAAACCAGGAGCTGAGAAAAACTAACCACTCTTGAAGAATACTGGCAGAGTTTTTCTTCTACTCGTGCTGGTTCTGTGACTAACGAGAAATTACTCCCTAATCTTTTCTAAGACATTTTTCTTTAAAAAATGAAAAGCCAAAGCATTACATTGCAAACTACTAGTAATAGGTAATTAATTGTCTGAATACCATCGATTTCAAGTTTAGGAGAATAACACCTCTTCCCTGTCTCCTATACAGACAAAGTCTAATTTAAAACCTTGAACAGAACTTGCTTCTTCAGGCTTGCCAATACAACCTAGATTTTTTAAAAAAACATCACCATTATTTTTCTAGATCTCTATCTGCTTTTTCATGCTTCACTCCCAACATTCCTAAAAATCTTTACAAAACTTGCTCCCATTGTCATCTATAGATAATCATGTAAGGGTATAATTTCTAAAGGCTTCAATCTTTTTATATTTTATTTATTATTTATTTAGTAGATTCCACTGAATTCAGTGAAGGTTGCTTCTGCATGGCTTGCACCACAACATTTAGTTTGTCTGTCACTAGGACTACCGATCGTGTTTCTATTTTGAGTTTTTGACTTAACCTTGCAGTGTTCCATTCTCAATATTATCAGTTGCATGAAATTTGTACCTTTCTTGTCTTCTACGTTCTCTGAAGAGACGCCTTTTAATTTCTTTCCTCTTGACAAATGCAATTGCAAGTAGAATTAATATAGGCAACACAAGTAAAAAAAATATCAGAAGACCATCACGAAGGGATGTATCTAAGAAAAAAAATAAGCATTGTACACTTATTTAAATGTAGAATTTGGACCGTGGTGCTACAAGAAGGAAGGTTTGAATTCTCACCAAAATAAAATATGCATTTTTTGGATCATTTTTTTCAATAAATGAATAAGTATAATATTTTGACCCCTTTGTTTAATTGGACTCTCTTTTTCTAGTTTTAGGAATTGTGCAGAGAACAGATCATAGGTCAAATTTATGCAGTAATTTTGAAAATTCAAAAGGGTTCGCAAACATTTAAGCACCATTGTATATATAAAAAAATATCAAAAAAGAAGCGCATCTTCCAAAAATAAAAGACCCAAACTGCTAAAATGGGCATATGCTAACTTACAGCTATAGATTCAGATTTTAAAAATAATTAATTTTAATGGAAATAAAATCCATTAAAGGAAAGGCCACATTGCCTTTTATTCCTGGTCTTCATTTTTAAACTAGAATTTCTTTTTTTGGACAGTTATTCAAATAAGTGACAGTTATTCACTTAAAGATAAAAGTGACTTTCGACAAATAAGACATAAAGCTACCTTAAAAGGTGCAAAATTAGAGTTCAGAAGTGAGCAATACCAGATGGAATGTAAGAAAGAGGAATGATTCTTGATACCTATATGAGTTGGGCCACTATCTATGCTGCCACCATAGCCAGACGCATCACAAAATGGAGGTGCCCACCCAGGATCACAGTGGCAATTGCCTTTGTTGTTACACACCTACAAGAGCAAAAAAAGAAACAAAGTAATGAAATTACAACTTTTAAAGAAGTTATAGACATTACAATAATATTAGGGTTAGAATGTTATGTTTCTCCCCCAAACAGGTATTGTAAGAATCCATGCACTTCTCTTAAGGAATTTTATTGCAGAAAAACTCAAATGCCATTATGAAAGAATTCTGTTAACAGTTGAATATCAACAGCAAGATCTATGAGGGTGAAGGTTCGTTCTCCAAATGTGTGGGTTGGTTTCTGAATGTTTCATTACCAGGCTAAGTAACATCTTCAGCAGAGTTTAGGGGATGTCAATGTTCTTCTGTTTATACGGGCTTCAGGTGTGGGTTTCTCCCACCTGCGCTCCCACCTCTTTTGGATGTGAAGCAGTGATGTGGTGTGGTGTGCAGATCAATATTTAACAATCAGCTCTATTGGCTCCATTGCTGGTATAGCACTACACCACTGGCCTCTAAACAGGTGATTGAGTCGGCATTGGAGGTCTCTCATCTCTCAACTAGCATGCAAAATTACAAGAAATGTAACAGTTGTCTCTCATGAGTCAATATGAATCAGCTCCAGCACACCACTGATAGGACATCTGGTTTCCATCCATCTCTTGTTAATATCAATAATTCCCATATTGTCATAGGAAAACAAAAATAATTGTTTTCCTATGACAATGTAGAAATTAATTTTCCCATAAGGTTTGTTCCTTGTATGATTAGATTTCCCATTATTTCTGAACTGGGCATACTTAACCTTCCTGAAAATAAGTGTTTATTTCTTTGAGGGGAAAAAAGCAGAACTTAAACATTTTAACTTGCCCTAGGCATACAAAGGGAGGGAAAAGGAAGCAAATGACAAAGCGCGTATTGGACATTGTCATACAGATTCATCCAGTTTGTTCTTGTACTATGTTTGGATGTTGCATGCAAGCCCAAACAGATTTTTTTTTCATTTGACAAAACCTCCAGGTGTTATATATGCCTATGTTTTTTGCAAAGCAAAATATTTTCTTGAATAAGATACTGGTGATAAACATGACCAACTTATATGTTCTTTAGATGAGGTAGTACTTTGGCTGTGATATAATGTCCCATAAATAAATGGGTAGAAATACTACAAAGAACTACCACTCAGCATTTTTAAAGAAAGCAATGATACATATTCATTAGTTGTACTATATGCCAAGATACTTGGTTATTATAATCTTGTCCCATAGCGAACATTATTATCGTAATAATATTTTAACTTACCGCCCGACCATTACACTTTTTCTTTATGTCACAGTTGTAACCCAGCAAGCTTGCATCTACACAACTGTAATCAATACAAGCCTAAAAAGGAGGGGAAAATAGTTTTTTTTTAATTTTCAGAATGGTCTTTGAAAGCACATTTTATCTGCAAATGCACAAAGGTATCAAGAAGAGACTGTCAGGTTCAAGAGTAACTCTAAACCAAATTTAGCATATTGGTCTTCCCCAAGATGGATAGTTACCTAATATTGAATTATAGCCTCTTAAAGAACGTGGTCAAAAAAGATGGACAAATCTAAGCCTAAAATGATGATGTTGGAAATGGGACCAAGGTGAATCTTGTATCTCTGTCATCATGCAACAATATAATTTGTCTGGGTTCAGCTTAATATAAGTATGAATCTAGACACTATGATTTGGAACTTAGGGCTTACAGTTTAAAATTAAGCATGGATCAAGTCCCAAATGATGTAATATAGGTTCTTTTAAGCTTTATCTCTTCCCAATCCAACACAGTGATGACAAATGATGCCCCATGTACAATAATGTCAGCATGCAAATACAATTATGTACTTGTGTCAATCTACAAATAAACTTGCAATGTTTCCATGATTATGTCATTATGCACATATCATTACTTCCCCGACTGTTAGTGTAACATTATGCTATAGAGACAGTTTAGAAACAACACTGGATAGTTTTATACAACATAGTGAACAGGCAACCTATAATGAATAGGATGTCACCAGTACTTCCGCCTCCAGAATCATGTGGGCAGGATTATAAATTTCAGAGGATATTACTTTGATGGTCTTCTTTGTGAGACATTAAAACATGGGTAACCTAAGACTTGCAGAGGTTGAATGCTAATGTGTCATTAAAAAGTGAATGAATGAATGAATGAAAATGAAAAATGAATGAATGAATGAATAAAATATACTTAATATACTTTTGCCTGAAACCCAAATATTTTAACCCCCCATCTCTTGGAAAGTGTAACAATGTTGCTGATGTGCTTGTTACAACTCCCAGCAGGGAAGGAAGAAGTACAACTTCTCAACTGGAAACGTTTGCTGAATTCTGTATAAAGTTTTATATTAAATAACATAGCTTCTTGATTTTGGCTTAGCGTAAAGAAAATACTCAGCCGCTGCTGCATGTAAATCGTGCCTAGGAGTAACAAATTAACATAACAAATTGTGACTCCGGGCAAAGTGCAATCTGAGCCAATGATTCGGTCAATAAGCAAGGTGTGACCCGGATAGGCTACACAGTTGTAAGATGCAGAAAACTCTTACTTTTCCTTCAGCACAAGAAGTGCCTTTATGAACCAGTGCTGGATCGGGAATATCTGATCCTAGATTAAATTCAGTAGACACACATGAAACTCCATCTATATTCTGGAAATACAACTGGGACGGGAGATTCTCGTGTTTGAAAGATGTACAATGAATCTTGCCACATAAACTATTGCTGCAAATGGTAATAATATAAAAACATAAGTAAAGAATGGTAAAGCAGTATGATAAATACAAAATGCTGTCTTCCGTGTTTTAATGTGGAGTTTTAATGTTCACTAGACTTGAGATTTACAGTATAAAAACCAATGTTGAGCAAAAGGATGTAGATCTATAAATAGGCGGAAATAACAGATTATCAACTTTAATACATTCAGATCCTGTTGGCCAACTATGGAAGGCAAGATAGTCCTCACTTAGCAACCGCCCTGAACAGTGACTGTTCAGTTATGACGATGCTGAAAAAGTAACTTTGTGACCAATTCCCATACATACAACCTTCACAGCATCTGGCTTTCTCTCCATCTTTCTCCCTATCTCTCTGTGTCATGTCAGTTGGTACATGCTGTCTTGTGTAAAATCATAAGCACAGTTTTGGTCACATGATTGTTCACTTAGTGAATGCTTTCACTAACAACCAAGTTGTCAGTCTCAATTGCTAAATCAGGACTACCTGTCTAGCTAAAATGTCCTTTCATATGGCTGAAGTTTCAATTTTCAGTGGTTTAAAGAATCGAATAAATAATCTGTGTCAACTATTCATTTCCACATCCTTTTACCAAAGGTTCATCTTCCTCCATTAAGGCTTATGATTCCAAATAAATGTGTAAGGTTCTACCGTACGATGAGCCATCTGTATCAGGTCCAAAGCCTAATTTAGTATTCTATGTTACTGAATTCTTCATTGCTAGATACATCAGGAAATTAGCAAGCAGGACTTTGGTACAAAACATCTTTCGTTGCCATCCAACAACTGATATCCTAAGGCAGAGATGTCAAACTGCCAGTCCACGGGCTGGACGCGTCATCCGGAAGCCGCGCCCACCCCATTGCCGGCAATGGCAAAACTATCCCGTGCGAGTTTGACATGTCTGCCCTAAGACTTGACACTTTTGATTTTTGAAGTATTATATATTTATCAAGGCAAGTAGCTTGATTCAGAAGTACACTTCTGATAACACTGCCTGAAATTACTAGAAGAACATTCTGAACAACTGTTTAAAATAATTTGATAAAACAAATTAGTGTCTAGAGCGGAGGTGGGGAACTATGGTCCCTTTATGACTTGTGGACTTCAATTCTCAGAATTCCTGGGTCAGCCTGAGCCAGGAATTCTAGGAGTTGAAGTCCACAAGTCATAAAGGGTCATAGTTTCCCAGCCCTCCTCTAGAGCAGTGGTTCTCAACCTTTTTAATGCCGCGACCCCCAACCGGTCGTAAGTCGAGGACTAAACCGGTTGTAAGTCGAGGACTAAACCAATTGTAAGTCGAGGACTAAACCGGTCGTAAGTTGAGGACTACCCAACCGGTCGTAAGTTGAGGACTTTCCCTGCCCGGGAGCGCCGCGCATGCGTGGTTCCGTCCCCTGCGCCGGCCAAGGCGTAGCTGGCAAGCGGCAGAGACGGAGCAGGCCGACCACCAGCTGGCCCAGCCCAAGGGAGGTAAGGTACCCGCCGGAAAAGGGGAAAAAAATGGCGGACAGCCTTGCTTGGCGACCCCGTGAAATGGTCGATCGACCCCAAATGGGGTCGCGACCCATAGGTTGAGAACCGCTGCTCTAGAGCAAAAAAACCTTTCTAGTGCTGGCTTCTATTACAATCCGGTAATCTAAATGTAGATACAATGGTTAGAAGTGATGTTGTCCAAATGTGGCCAATTGTGTGTTTTATAAACCTTAGTTTACAAAGATGTCGATAAATGCTGGGATTGTTACCCCACCACTTGCAGATACTCTACGACAATGATATGCTGGTCTACATAAAGACATTAGTGGTAGTCCAGAATTGTTGTTTAACATTAAGAAAACAATTATGTCCTGATTTATTAAGCTATGTGGTTGCAACTGAATCTTGTAATTTGAATATAAAGGTAGTCCTTGACTTACAACCACAACTGAGCCCAAAATCTGAGGCCAAAATTTTTGGTGCTATGTGAGACATTTGTTCAGTGAATTTTGCTCCATTTTACCACCGTCCTTGCCACAGTTGTTAAGTCAATCACTGCAGTTGTTAAATTGTAACACAGC